TACAGTTCAATGAAGAACCAGGCAGGGAGTCTTTATAGATATTTGAAGCCAGGAAGGAAGCATTGTCAGAGCATGAAAAGGGAACTTTTTGGTCACTTGGATGCACAGCAAAAGCACCAAGTGGGAATTACTCTGCCACAGTGATTGGAACACTAAGTTCAGGAGTCAAATCAGTGCAACAGGTTCCAAACAAAGCCACACAACAGACACACTCTGTGGAAATGAAATTGGATTCTGATCTGAGTTTTAAGACCATGCCATGAGCTATATGCTACATCAAAAGGTAAATGCTGTCATTTCTTTACATTTTCAGAGAGCCCAATAAATTCCGCACAATGTACTAAATTGATTCACAACATGACCTCCATAAAAGAAAACTGCCTTGAGGAAAAAGCTTTCCAAAAACTTTGCAGAACTTAATGAAGATAACCACCTCCATCCAAATGGATCAGAAGGACAGTGAGAACTACACATTGTCCAAAATGAACTTAACCCAAACCCTTAACACAGTAAGGATTTCCAGTGAACCAGACTTTAACACAACCTGCTCTCAGCTCCCAGGCATATGTAGTCACCCTAATACTGTGGCTTATTTTGCAGTTCTTATTCCCTCAAAGCCTTTACAGGAAGGTGGTGACCACAGTACAAAAGTAAGATTGAGATGTTATGGGGTTGGGGGGTTGTGATACCAGGAAGTACCCAGATAGACACAAGAGGAAGTCTTTTCTTTTGTCATGTTAGAGAGACTTGCTCACTGTATCTCAGCCAGTGAGATAGTAATAGTAACAACAGATGTTACTATTGACTGTAAAAATATGTCATCTCACTTTTTAAGTTTTGATTTTTGTTAATAATTTTGTCGTTTGACAATTTCAGACATTACATAATGCATTCTAATTATTCTTTCCCATTCTTTCATTTCTGATTCCTATCAATACCCTTCCTCCCTACCAGTTCCTTGATTTTGCAACCTTTTACTTTAACCAAGGCCACCTGTGTGAGCACTGGATTATAACTATCCATTAGAGCCTGGTAGGCTCACCAGTGGGGCCAGAGATGAAGACAAAGTCACCTCATGTTGAGGCTGATGCTGTGTTTGCTATTATGGACTGCTCTGGGAATTAAGCTCTAGGATCTGAAGAAGCAATTCTTTTTATGTGTCATGGAACTTTTATCAATTCCCATCCAGTTTGCCACAAGAGCATTCAGAGAAGAAACTTGGAGTCTTTTCTTGTCTAATCTCATTTCCTAACATTAATTTAACTTCTAGCAAATGATGACATGTGTGTACTTCTGTCATGATATCCATTCCATTTAGATCACATTGGTTAACTATCTGGACTCCTGATTTTAGAATGATGTGCTAACATTCTATCCAACCCTGTCCATCTTTCTATGGAACGACATTGATTAATATTTAATAATGTGCAAGTTAGCAGGTGAGGAGATGAAGAGCTGTGCTGTCCCTCTGTTCATATGTGGGCATATGAGCTGATTCCCTCAATGTTATTCTGTGAGAGCTACCTACTGTCGATTCCCCTACACATGTCCTTGATCTACTGGAAGTAATCCCAGTAATTCTGCTAAATTAACCTCACTATAACACACATCTGACTGTGAAACTGCTATAGTAAAACCTTCCAGTGACTTCCAAATATCTGTAATGTCCAAGCAAACTAGCTTGATTCATAGCCTGCCTTCCCGGACTCATCCCTTACCATTCCATTCCCTATATGATACAGACCTATGTAAACGTATAGCTTATTCCTCATGTCCTGCCTTTACACAGGTTGTGGGTCTTTTCTTGGTTAGTTTCTTATCCTTTGAAAGTTCAGGCTTTCATGTCTCTCGTAATATTTTTCTGACTCTTTCTTTCCATGTATTTAGGACAGCTTTTTTCAGACCATTTTCTTCATTATGCTGGGCAAATCCTTATCCTCACACTTTTTGGGTCTCGCTGTAAGACATTAATGTGCTAAGTCTGATGAAGCTGTGTAGTGCTGGATGCTTTAGTCTCAGCAAAGTCCCTAACACAGAAATGACCCGTAATACCTAAGATTTTCAAATGAGTTAATAGTGAAAGAAATACATGCAACAGACTCTTTCCAATGTGACTTTCTTGCAAACATGTTAACAGGCAAACCCAGCAACAACGACAAGCTACTTACCTGAGCATCCTGTGGACTAGTCAAGTACACACAAAATGAATCATGTCAGCCTCCAATGTAAAGCCAAGGTTGAGACCAATTTGCAGGTATCATCAATGCATTCTATACTGTATACACTAGGGGAGGTCATGTGAATATGAAAATTGAGAGAGTGAATCTGATAGTGATTTCTACAATAAAACATAGTGGGGACCAGTAAGAGTAGACATGTGAATCCTGATCTGTAAGCAATGAAATCCCCATTCTAGGGTCATGAAATTAAGAAAAAAAAGTAAGAGCTAAATGAAAAATACTTGTTAAAATTTAAGATTGTTTCAATGGATTAGTTGTGTTGGGTGCCGTTTAATCCTCATAAAATCACTGAAATCTGAGATAATCTGGGTTCAGGATAGATAACTTGCCTGGAGTCACACTTTTCTAGGTTCAAAGCCAGTCTATGGAAAGCTCACGTTCTCTCTGCCACATTGCTCTGCCTGTTGGCCAGATGCAGAGCTGTGCTGAATAGAGAAACAGTACACAAACAGCTTCACACATAGTACCAAACTTCAGGGTCTTTACAGTCTCTACAAGTCAGAGACCTGAGTTTCTTTTATGTTCATTTATAAGTGAAATTCAAATAAACCAGGTGACTAAACCCCACCAAAGCCCTGAGACCTGAGAACGACCCTTTATTATTTAATGAAATCACCAAAGGTGAAGATAACTGTGATTTTTTTCTTCCTAAAATCATGTTGATACCTGTAGTAAGTGGAATAAGGCTCTCTCAAACGATGTCGATTCTGCGTCTGCTGTGAGACAGACATGACAGGGAACCTGCACCCATGAAATCTTAGCAATAGGGTTGCCTGAACAGGACCCGCATAATGACTGCGTCAATGTGCCAACAGGGATGGAGGACACTTCACAAGGTCCTACCCCTAGATGAAGAGTTACCAGCAATTAATATGTGCTGAGAGAGGGAGAGTCTCTAGGAATGAGCCTCTTATGGATTATCTAATCCCAAATGATCAGCCCTAAACATGTGTACATATGAGTAACACTAAATGTACTCAGGCTGTGTGTATAATATATATGTATGTATACATACACAAACATACATGTGCATATGCAGCAATAGTAAATGAAAAAGAGGCCTTGAATTTGAGAGGGAGTTGGTAGGAATGAAAGATCAGAAGAGGGAAAGAGAATGACCCAAATACAATACTCATGTCAGAAATTCTCAAGAAATTAAATTTTTAAAAAGACATGGAATTGTGCTAGGTTAACTTCAGTTGTCAACTTCACATACTCAGAAAGAGGGAACATCACTGGGGAATTTCCTCTATTGGATTAGCCTGTGGGCATGTCTGTGAGGCATTTTCTTGACTGTGGAGGGACATGGGACAGCCCATCCTACTTTGGTTTGTGCTGCTCTTTGGCAGGTAGGCCTATGGCCTTGCCTTGGTCTCTGCTATAGTTCCTGATTCAATTCCTGCATCCAAGAACCTTCCTTGAGTTCCTACCCTGGCTTCCCTCAATGATGAACTGTGATTGGTCATGTCAAACCAAGTAAACCCTTTCTTCCCTAAGTTGGTTTTGGTCAGAGTGCTTTATCACAGCAATAGAAATTAAATTAGGACAGTGATACCGTAAGCACTTTATCCTTTTATATCATTGATCCTATTAAAAATCCATTAGTATGGGGGCTAGAGAGATGGCTCAGCAGTTAAGAGCACTGGCTGCTCTTCCAGAGGACCCAGGTTCAATTCTCAGTACCCACATGGCAGTTAATAACCATCTGTAACTCCAGTTCCAGCTTATCTGATGCCCCCTTCTGGCCTTCAGGAACATTGCTGTACTTACACACATGCAGGTAATACACTCATACACATAAAATAAAAATAACTAAATCCCCAGAATCTGTAAATGTTACCTTATATAACAAAACCCAGACTCAGCTATGTGATTAAACTTAAGATGTTGAGATGAGTGGATAATCCAGAATCATCCATGCTTTAAATACAGTCATGGGTGTCCTTGAAGAGAGGAAGACCACACAAACAGCAGAGGAGGAGGAGGCAATGTGTCCACCATAGAGGAGAAACTAAGCTATGGCCTCAAAACAAAGAGCTAACAGAGAGATCAACACTCTGCTGACAGTTTATATCCAGTACTGTGGGAGAATAAATTTCTGCTGTATAACAATATATTTTTCCAGTCTGGCAGCATACACCTCTTACCCTAGTACTTGGGAAGCTGAGGCAGGAAGGGAAGGAATTCAGGGGGGGCTTCGGCTTCCTAGTAAGTTCAACGCCAACCTGGAGTATATGAGAACCTTACTTTAAAAATAAAAAAATTATTAAAAGAAATCAAGCTTGTGGAAATGTGCTATAGGAATACAGGAAACTAAAATACCCAACTAGCACTAAGGGCTGTAAATCATAAGCGCCCTAGAAATTCAATAACATTAATGATGCATCATGTGTTCATTTCTTTTTCACAGAGCAAGAAAGAGGAGGGAGGCATTTCACTTTGGCCGCAGAAAACAGAACACTATGACCTCTTAGGCATTTTACTTCATGAGCAAATTATTTTACAGCAATTTTTTCCCTCCTGCCCATTTAGATTACCACAGGACTGACTAATGCTAAAATGTTAGGGCTGGTAAAATAATGAGTGCTAATAAAACAGTGGAGTGCTCTGCATTCGAGTCATTGAACCAAAAGCAGTGGCTTGGAATTCATGATGCACCCAAGTCATCAGATAATGGACAATTATGAGGCCTTGCATTGTTGATTCTCTTAAGACTGTGATAAGGGTTGAGCAGTAACCTCACACTCTTATGCCCCTCAGGCTCGGTGGGATGGCTTGACTGGACGTATCACCTTCAATAAAACTGATGGCTTGAGAAAGGATTTTGACCTGGACATCATCAGTCTCAAAGAGGAAGGAACTGAAAAGGTAACCTCCTTCATGATAACTCAGTTAGTTGACTAAGAACACGGTTAATGCATTTTGTCTGAATACACAGGCAACTGGAAGACTAATAAAGTTATTCTCAGCATATTCCTTTACTTTTTTTTGGGGGGGTCTTTTTGAGACAGGGTCTCTCTGTAGTCCCAGCTGTCCTGGAACTCACTATGTAGACCAGGCTGGCCTTGAACTCACAGAGATCTGCTTGCATCTGCCTCCCGAGTGCTGGGATTAAAGGCGTGTGCCACCACGCCCAGCTATTCCTTTACTTTTAGTGTTCCAGGTAATTCTATCATATTGGTAAATAGACACTGATGTGCTAGATTCTCAAATCATATGTGTTATTAATAGTAGTTCTGACAGATGCTTACCCAGGCTTGGTCTATGAAGCAAGTAAGTATTTTTGCCTATGTAACCCTGTGCATAGGGATCCTCAGGCCCATTTCTCAGAGATCTCACAAAATTGAGTTTACACTTGGAATTTTGGAAACTTGCTCATTTATCTAGGGAAAGGCATCCAAGGTTACTCAGAAATTAATTTTAGCTGGACTCTATTTTGAGATTGGTGACAGAGGGATGGAATAAAGTAGGATAGAAAAGACTTACTGAAGCAAATTAACATTGCATTCTTAATTTTAGGACAAATGCTTGAAAACTTTAATTTCAAAGTTGGATTCTAACTTTATTTAGGTTATTTTAGTTGGAAGTTTCAATTTCAAAGTTTAAAGATTTTTTCTTAATTGTTATTTAGAGTAACATAAATGCAGACTGTTAAGTAATGATGATAAAAGAATCTGGCTTCTCAACAGATTTATGACCTCACTTTAATATCTGTGTCCACAAATTGTAATTAGCGGGAACAGTCTGGAGTTACTCTTTGGAACCTTAAAGAACAAAAAATGCTGAAATCCCTAAAATAATCACCTAACCATCAAAAATCCATAAAGCATCATGGCTTCAATTTGATGGTGAGGGAGATGTGGTGCTCAGTATGAGAGCACTCTTTGGAAACAGTTAAATCCTTACTTAATTTCAAGTAGTTGCGTTGACTTTTAAAGGTAAAGTTTTCATATCTGTTTCATTGCTTTCATTAACTGGGAGACATGTTTTTTTTTTTCCCTATCTACTTTCTCCCCCTTCTATCTGACCCTTAAGCAGCATTAATTGAAACAAAGATTAATTAGTTGTAGAGGATTATCACTGGTGTTGATGTGTTTGAGAAAAACCATTAACACGGAGATTTGAGAGTATACACGTGTGTGAGTTTTCTATTTCCAAGATGCTGTTTGTCTTTCCCAGCTCTGTCTTCTCGGTTTTTGCTTCACTGCCCTGCTGGTTTAACCGAGCGCGAAGCAGCCGCATGCCCTCCATAACCGGATGCGGGATTTGGGCAGGAGGGAGCAACAGGAAAGAATATTCATTACAACCTAAAACCTTATGATTATTTGAAAGAAGATACGTTTCCCTAGGCCTAACCCTTTCTGCCTTCTCGGTTCCTCCTAATGTACAGCACTGAAAGAAAAGGAAAACTGTAAAGCAAGCATCCTTTTGGCTCAGATGGTGATGAAATAGATCGAGCTACTGTTACACACTGAAATATTATGCACATCCTATTGGTGCTTTCCATCAAAGGCAAAATCGAATTAGATGAAAGTGTTTTCTATTTGTTTCTTATCTCTCCAATGTTTGCAATAACTTTTCTTTCTTCAGATGACTTGGGCTCCCTTCCTGAGAAGGACGATTGAGTCTTAAAGGCAATGGGGAAAGCTAACACATGTCTCTCAGGAGCCAAGGGAAGACCAGCCCACACTTTCCATGCTAGCACCTCAGGGTCCCCTGGGAAACTGTTAGCAAAAGCCTATCTCTCACTTACACTCGGCTTTCTACTATCTTGAAACCCATAATCAAAGGATGCATTGTTAAGCATGCTTCTCTGTGTACCTCAGAAAGTGTGGTGTGTGTTACCTTAGAAAGTGTAGTGTGTGTGTGTGTGTGTGTGTGTGTGTGTGTACTGACTATTTTCATCATAATACCTTCAGCAGCTCTTTTGTTTTTTATATTTTATTATTTTAATGTGTATGCGTGTATTGCCTGCATGTAGGTAAGTGCACTATATTTTATTTATTATTTTAATGTGTATGCGTGTATTGCCTGCATGTAGGTAAGTGCACCTGGGTCGTGCAATGCCCACGGAGGACAGAAGAGGCTGCCGGATCTCCTGGAACTGGAGTTATGGACAGTTGTTAGCTGCCATATGGGTGCTGGGATTCGAACCCGGGTCTTCTGCAAGAACAGTCAGTGTTCTTAACTGCTGAGCCATCTCTCCAGCCCCTCAGCAGCTCTTTTAACGCATGATGAGTAAACTTTAATTCTGCAGCATACCTGTAAATATTCAAAAGTGCTTTAATTTACATTTTGGTGTGTGAAACGACCGTAACTTCTGGGACACCCAACCGGTATTTCACCTCTTTGTTATACCTCCTGCCACACTTGGTATTGAATTAAAATGCAAAATTCCAAGCAACAGTTGAGGAATGTAATGCACACTATATGCTTTGTGGATTCCATGATGCATTTTAATTGTTTTTATTTTTCCCTCTGAAAACCAAGGCTGCTGGTGAAGTGTCTAAGCAATTGTATAAAGTATGGAAGAAGGTGTGTACTCTGATAACTGTAGGACACCTGGGGATGGGGTGGGCGTATCCTGCCAGTTGTGCCAGACCAGTGGCTGTCAGTTGCAGATCAGGTGTGAGACTCTACATAAGGAGAGAACAGTAATAGAATATGTTCTCTCTCAGCATCGCTCATGAATTAACAGAGACATTCTATGGGCTAATCAATGATGGATTACTATTTCCCGTAGATTGTTTTTGTTTCTCCTGGACAGGATTAGTTCCTGTGAAGGCTGAAAGCAGGTAACCACAAGGAAAACAGACACAGGCCTTTTTAGCCATTCTCAACTCATTAGCTGTTTCCCCTAAGGGAAATGAAACCAATAAATTTGATCCATCAGACTAGTCAGATAAGCACAGGTCTCAGAAAGCGGGGGCTTTTCCCTCGATGTCACCATCATGAAACAGAGGTCATTTTCAGAAACTTCCTTTTTCATGAGCAATCTTTGTTTTGTCAGGGATTTTTGTCAAGGCATACCATCCTGAAATTTGTTTTAGAACTACTTTCCAGAAGACAAATCATTAGAAACTTGGGAAAGGAAATTAGACTATATTGCAAACTTTAGCACCCACTATTTCATACTTTATTGTACAGTATCATATTGCCAATGACTGTGCATAGATTTACATAACAAATGTTAGACATTAAAAACATTGCATGGGAAAAATGTCCCTGTGACAGGCATAGGTTGCATCACCTTCCATTCTTCCTGCCTCTCTCTCTTTTTTTCCTCACTCTCTTTAAAACTATTTTATAATATTTCTGTTGGTTGATGAATGGACATTAAATTGTTTAAAGTTGTTCAACTTGGGTAGTTTGGAAGGTTCACTTTCATCATTCAAATGGTTGGCTGAGTCACAGAAAATGTAAACAATTTTAGTAACCAAAATTCCCATGTCCCCTTTGGTAAGGCTCAATAGATGAACTCAAAAATGACCTTCATTTAAGTGTTAAAAAACCTGAGTTTCATAAGTTTGTTTTAATCTTCAGTGAACCAGGCTGCCCAAGGCCCACCGAAGATGAACTAGTTTCCTCACTGGTAGCGGTGGGCGATTCTAACTGGCATTCTGAAAGCAGCTTATTATACTAATCCAGCTTGAGACTCCTGGCACTTTATATGAAGCTAAATTAATTCAAACTAAGCATCCTAGGTAATGGAGTCCAAGCTCTGAAGTTGGACTCCAGGGAGGGTGGGGGGCAGTCCTCCAGGCACCTCTACACTTCCATATGCACACGCACATCCCCAGGATGCAACTTCTTCATCTTGCTAGTCCATGCCCTTCTTCCTTTTTCTCCCTGTTAACCCATCATTGACCACACTCTCAGCTGAGTAGGCTGGGGCTCATCTACAATTCACAGTAACTGTACTCCAACACTGGAATCATTCTGACTCAACGAATAGGCGGTACTTCTCTGAGAAGATGCTGTCTTAAAGAGAGGGGTTCACCCCAGTACAGTCACCCTCCAAACGCTCTCTTCAGCACCATGACCTTATTTAAAATTCCAAATGGTTCACCTGAAATTCTTTCCAAAAGAGGGAGAAACCAATGAACAAATCGTGCTTCCCTCCCACTAAAACATTCCTTAAGGAGTCTCAAGGTGCAGAAAATAATGGAATTCTTATTTTTGTTTCCCATACGTACGTGGTTATTTCATGCAGCCATTTGGGATTTTGTGTTCCAATAATTCCCTCTCTGAGTTTGTAAAACAGAACCTAATGACTCTCTTTTTTAAACAAAATTTTATTGTTATTTTATTTATGTGAGTGTTTTGTCTGCATGTATGTGCTTCCATATCATGCAATACCTGTGGACACCAGAAGAGGGTGCCAGATCCCATTGAATTGGAATTGCAGGCAGCTGTGAGCCACCATGTGAGTGTTGCAAACCTAACCCAGGTCCTCTGGAAAAGCAGCCAGTGCTCTTAACCACTGAGCCATCTCTCCAGCCCCACTAGTGACTCTCTTAAATGCCATTTTGTTGCATCACTTTTTATAACATGGCTAACTGTCCCCTAGAAGTTCATTCACAAGTTCTCCCCTCAGTTGTCCCAGATCCAAATGGCTGATTCCTCATGCCAGTTTAAACAAAGTGAGAGAAGACAGGCCAGACAGTTTGAGTATTCTTCCCCGCAGATAATTGGTCCTCCCTCCACCACTTCTCACCAGTAAACTCCCTTTGTCAGCTTTTGTTCCATAGTCTGAAAACTGAAGTAAATCCTGCCTCCTCCCGAGTGGTAGAACAAGACCATGATGCCAACATCCAGCTACCAGGTTAACCACACCACCCTGCCCAGCACTCAAGGATCACAGGATCCCACCTCAACAGAGAAGTTCACTGCCTACTAACCTGTCCATTTATTTTAATTAAGAAATAAAGCCGGTGGGACAGCCTGACCTGTCCTTCATTTCCATACTCATTTTAATACAGACAGCAGGAAAAGAAATAATCTCCTTTTCCTCATTTTATGGAGGAAGATCTGTGCTCTTGGGACTCAGAGGTAGTGGACTGAAAGGCAGCAGCGATGGTCTCTTGCCTCTGCACATTTGCCAGCGATGGAGAAAAGAAATCAGAGCTAGATGCCAAGCAGAAGCAAATCTTTGTCTAAAATTTTAAAATTTTTCTTTAGAAAAACTCGATATTACAATAGCATTCTATGCCACCATTTTCATAGATGAAATCATTCCAAAACCAATTTCCCTAAATACATATTTGCATTAATAAAAAATGAGTTAAAATGCATTTTCTGACTTTAAAAGGTAGCTAAAATTACAAGTTTACTCTCCGCCCTTCGATACTTAATTAAAAATTAAGTTATGCTCCTCTCAGCACCTGTGTTGACATTTCATTAGAGTTATATCCAGGGCCCAACTTACACAGAGGTTTTTCTTACAATGAAACCTAAACTATAACTTTGGATAAAAACAAATCAATATATTTACTGGGAGCTATGTTTCCTGAAAACCAAGGTCTCACCATCCAAAGGGAGGAGATGTGAAGGCTGAGAAGAACAGAAAATGTCCCATTTCCTAGCCAAAGGAAACTGAAGCATCTTCCATCAGGAGATAGACCATGTGCCACATTCCAAGAGGCCCAGGAAATGCTGGAGTTACTTAGGGTGCCAGCATGACTCCCTACTCACTGCTCCATTACCACCCCTTGCCCCTTTGGTTCTCCAATCAATGAACCCCAATTAGCACAGAAAAAGCAGTGAAGCTGGAATAGTTTAGGTTTACGTGTGGATGTATTACAGTTCTTGGAACTTTCTCAGAGGATTTATGTCTCTAAAAAGATATGCATCAAGCCAAATGATTTTCAAGTTACTAACTTTACACGGTAAGTCAGGATAGCAAAGACAGCTAGCTATCCTAGCATGCTCGCCTGTGAGAATGTGTTTAATCACAAAAAGAAGATAGGAGACACTTTGGGGCTGGAGAGGTGGCTCAGTGGTTAAGAGCACCTGCTCGTCCAGAAGACCAGAGTTCAGTTCCCTGCCCACATTTTGGGTGACTCCAGGCCCAGGGGTTCTGACGCTCTCATTTGGCCTCTGCAAGCACCTACGCACACCTGTCATACATGCACACATATACGTAAATATTTAAAAGAATTTTAAAGCACTTTTATCTTCATTCTGCTGGTAAGGAAACTGAAGCACAGAAGAGTTCATTAACCACCCAAGTCACATACATAGCTGGTAAGTTACAAAGCTAAGATCTAAACTGGCCTGTTTGCAAAGCTCACACTGTTTTAGCTGGCTAAATGTCTTCCTATAGAAGGAAGCATATTCCCAAACTGAAGCAATATATTTAAGGATCAAGTACAGATCACCCCTATCCACGTGAGTGCTTCCAAGTGCATGCCTTCTTCATAGCTCATTTCCTTTACCATTTTCTGAATTATTGGGAAAAAAGAAATCACTAACAATTCCAGATTCTTTCACAGCAGGGAAAGCTTGAAGAAATTACTATGAAAGTCATGTACATATCTTGTATTATTAATATTTGTGCAGCTGTTAACAGTGACAAACACTTTCACATATAGCATCTCATTTGAGCTTCTCCCTGTCTCTATAAAGTACTTTCATTGAGAAAAACAAAGCTCAGAAAGGTTAATATCTTGCCTAAGGTCACATAGTCACCACCTGACTGTTACCATCTGGCTTTCAAACACACATTCCTTCTCACAAGGCTGACAGTAAACACGTACAGGACTCAGACAAATAGTTCAATTTTCAAAGCTTTTTCTCTGGGTCTTCTTAGATGCTAATTAAATCAATGTATATATGGGTTGACAATCCCTTATCCAAACTACTTGAGAACAGAAAAGTCTTGATTTTTTTTTAATTTTGGAACATTTTCATAGGCATGGTAAGATCTCTTAGAATGGGATTCAAGTCTAGACTGGAAATTTATGTATGCTTCATAT